AGGGAGACATGGAGCGGCTTTTCTCAGCAGACACCTCAGCTTGAGAATAAAGGACTGAGGGAAGTGAGGTGTGGAAGAATAAGACTGAGCTCTGGAGAAATGTTTGGCTAGAGTTTCCCCTACAATATGTACCAGTTCCGACTTACATACAAATTCAACTTAAGAACAAACCTACAGTCCCTATCTTGTACGTAACCCGGGGACTGCCTGTATATTACAACTAGTGAAGTGTGTGTCATTTGTTTACATATAGGCCCTGATCCTGCAAAGACCTACTTGACTTCAGTGGGTTTACTCGCATGCATAAAGTTAAGCACATGCAAAATCTTTGCAGGAGTACCACCATTGCATCTTTTTTAGAAGAAAATAATAATAGTTGTAAAAAACAGTAATAGTAAATTGTTTTTATATAGTTTTCACCTAAATATTTCATACAATTACCTTAACCTCATGATACCCCTCGGAAGCAAGAAAATACTTCTCTAAAGCAAGCATTTCACAGATGGAAGAGACTGAGGCATAGGGTGATTCAAGTGGCTTATCTCACTCAAATCCAAGGTAGGATGAGAGCTAGAACCCAGAAGTTTTTAGTTGTTTATTCTAAACTTCAGAATCTCACTCCTACTCTTTTCCCAAAATGTGTATGTGCTTGATACTTCATAACATTAAAAAACGTAGTATAAAAACAATGTAAAATAAGTTACAGATGCCTATCCTAATTCTTGGCTACCTATCAAGTGTCCAGTTCTGCCAGCACTTGTTCAGGTAAGGAACTTCATATGGGTAACCAGACCAACTGAACATGGTGGGGTTACTTATCTGCTTAAGTGTTTATACAGGGTCAAAGTACAGGCTGGAACTTGTAAAATAAAGATTTTATTAATCTTGAGTGTAAAAAAAGTATCTAAAACTATCCTCACAGAGGAAAAGCACCTCTTTCTCCAAGTTCAGCTCTTAAATATAGCCACTAAATATTTAACTTCTGGGTGTTTGTTGTTTTAAAGACACAAGCATCTGTAAATATGGACAGATAGGGTGGAACCCAAATTGTTTAAAGTCCTAATAGTCTACACATACTTTACATTAGCTACAGCAGATTTAAAATTGGTATAAAATAGGGACATCTAGAGGAATTATTTGTTATGGCAGCCTTATGTCTAGTCTGAAACCAACTGGTTTTGATGGATCAGTTTTTTACTTTATGTAGCCATGTTGGTCCCAGGATATTAGAGATTCAAGATGGGTGAAGTCTGGTAGTATCTTTTATTGGCCCAACTACTGTTGGTGAGGGAGAAGGTCTTGTTCTCTCACCAACAAAACTTATTACCTTACCTCTCCCATGTTGGCTACGTCTAGACTGGCATGATTTTCCGCAAATGCTTTTAACGGAAAAGTTTTCCATTGAAAGCATTTGCGGAAAAGAGCGTCTAGATTGGCACGGACGCTTTTCCGCAAAAGCACTTTTTGCGGAAAAGCATCCGTGCCAATCTAGACGCGCTTTTGCACAAAAAAGCCCCGATAGCCATTTTCACAATCGGGGCTTTTTTGCGCAAAACAAATCTGAGCTGTCTACACTGGCCCTTTTGCGCAAAAGCTTTGCGCAAAAGGACTTTTGCCCGAACGGGAGCAGCATAGTATTTCCGCAAGAAGCACTGATTTCAGACAGTAGGACGTCAGTGTTCTTGCGGAAATTCAAGTGGCCACTGTAGATAGCAGCTGCTTTTGCGTAAAAACTTGCCAGTCTAGATGCAGCCGTTGTGTCTCTGTTTTTGCCTGTTTGTTGGAAGGGTTCTATCCTAGAATACTGAGGCTGAATCTTCTCTCACACTGAGTTCCTTGCTGTAATTCTGGATTTACACTGATGTAGTAAACTGCTGTGATTATCTGGAACTTCATGATAGTCGATGTTTTAAGGCTCATCTAGACTACGCTAAAGTGTCGAAAGGGGCGGAATTTGCATATCTTCTTCCAATCTCACTTGCGAAAGCTCTGCTTTCGAAAGTGAAAGTAATCAAGACACATTTTTTTCAGTAACCCTCTCTTTTTCAAAAAGCTGCATAAACCTCATTTTTGCTGAAAAAAAACACTTCTTGATTACTTTCACTTTCGAAGCTCTGCTTTTGAAAGTGAGATCTGAAGAAGATATGCTAATTCCTGCAGAATTTGCATATCCGCTTTCGAAACTTTAGCGTAGTCTAGATGAGCCCTTATATAACGATCCAGTTGCTGGAAACTAGTGCTCATGTGAGGATTTCAGTTTTATTTAAGAAAAACTAAGTTTCTAGCCCACAGGGTTGTGGAAAAAAAGCTAGCAAATGTGACCAAAGCATATCTGTGAAAGCAGAAGGCACATGAAAGTGACCCAACATTGATTTGTTTTTAACAGCTTATTACTTTTCAGCTACTCTAGTGATTTTGGGGGGTCTGATACAATGTTTGAGTTTGGCAATACTGGAGAAGAGAATTAGGCCAATTGTTTTCAGAATTCTATATCAGATAATCTACATCTCTTCCCAATATGCCATGTGCCTGCCCATTCATTATTCATGCTGCATGTGACGGGGTGTACCGACCTTGCAATGACCTGGGAGGGGTTAACCAGGCCTGCTGGGCATGCTCCAACTGCAGACCCAGTATAAAGGCCAGAGGAGCAGCTCAGTTGTGGCTGACCACTGCAGGGGAAGGAACTCCTGCTGGGACTCAGGAGCAGCCTCCCCTACTGGCCCAGCTGCAGCAGCCACTGCAGGTGGAGAATATGCTGTCGTGGGCCAAGATAGGAAGTAGCCCAGGGCGGGGAGCTGGAGGCCTCCCTGTGAGCTCAGAGCGTTTTGGGCGGATTCCCTGCCGAGCCAGTGGTGGGATATGCCTACCACTGACAGGGCCTTGGACTAGGGCCTGATGGAGAGGGAGGGCCTGGGCCCCCCTAATCTCCTCACTTCCCTTGACCCCCTAGAGGGGGAGCAAACCTAGCACAACAGAGACTTGGCCACGGGGCCTTACTACCTGCAGATGGGGATGCTATAGACAAGGCCACTAGGCCTTACTGCCCCAAAACTGGGGTGCTATGAACTTGGCTGCTGGGCCTTACCACCCTGCTAATAGGGGTTGCTAGAAACTAGGTTGCCGGGTCTTACGAATTCAGGGTGCTACAGACTAGGCCACTGGGCCATAACGCCTGACCAAGAGAAGCTATAGCTGGGGCTAGATTACAGGGTGAGGCGCCCCACCCAGTCCCCCAGGAGGGGTGGGCTAGCTACCCCATGACATTGTGGTAGTACCCAAGAATTCAGCCTGGACCAGGACCCAGTATACAAACTTAGAACAAATAGTCAAGTTAAAGATTTTACAATCTAAATATAAAACAAGATAAATATTCAGATCCCTAAGCTCCCTCCCTTGCCTGAAGCCTGCAAACCTCACTCTATGTTGGCAATTCATAGAATATTAGAACTGGAAGGACCTCAAGAGATCATCAAATCCAGTCCAGGATTGGTGAAGATGTGTTTATTTACCGATAGAGTTCTATCAGTACAACCCCTTGCATAAGTGCAGTTATACTGCACTCCTCCCCTTTCCTGTACAGGCATAAATGTACAGGTATAAAGCACTGTTATCTGGATGTAACTGGGTCTTATCCTAGAGGCAGTGACTCTCTCAATGCCCCAGTCTAGTTACAGTAGTACAACTTTCTAGTATAGACAAGGCCTTTTGGCCCTGATTCAGTGTGGTGCTTAAGCACATTTCAAATATTAGCATATGGGTAGTTCCACTAAAGTCACAATAGACTCAGTGAACTCACACATGCTCCAATATCTTGCTGACTTGGTGCTTTAAATCTACATTTCCTTGCAAATGTAAGTTTGTCTGATTCTAATGTTCTAGAATGCATTTTTAACTGTGATTCAAGTAATGCCTGAGGCTCATTTTTAATGTGTATTCTGCCTCCTCAGTGTTAGAGATCCACAATATTCAGTGGATCACTCAATGACTAAGGTGCTTGCAAGAGCTCTGCTCTGTTCACTGTCCTATTCCAACTGGGTGATTGTGCATAGCAACAAAACCTTCACCGGCAACCTACCTAGCCTGTTTGCCTGGGAAGTTCAGGCCTCGAAAGGCACAGCCTCTAATATCACATGCATATCGGAGGATGCTTGGCAAAAAAACCTCAAAGAAAACCAAGCAAATAAACAAAAATCCAAACATTTCAATCAGGCGGATACATGTGTGTGTTCCGGTTCCAAGATGGAATTGTTTTGCTGTGATGTAGGCATCGCCTCAGTTAACTGTGAATGTTCATAGGTAAATAGAATGTCATTTCCAAGATGAGACTGAAACCTGGATGCTTGTTGCAGTTTCTGTATTTAGATAAAATATACTGTTTATTATCAGTGAGAAATGCTAGGGCGCTTGCAGAATATTTCCAACTCCTCGATGTTCATAAAAAGAATACTCTGAATGGTAAGTACTTTCTACAGGCCCTGGAATTTGCTATCACTAAGGCTAATTTTATATCTGTCACACACTCACAGGTCATGCCCAAACTGGCCCGTAAAGTCCCCTTCACTGAGACAGCCCCTTCCCAGGGGCCACTCACTCTTTGGGGTTAAGCCTCCTCTGCCTTGTGGGATTGCACCTCTCTGAGCAGCCAGCACACCTATCTCTTGCCATGGGCCTGCTCTGGAAGTCCATTTACTCTGGACCCTCCCGGACCTGCACTCCCAGAAGGAATAATGCAGCCCTGTTCTCTAGAATGGAGTGACTCTTAGCCAGCACAAAACTGGAGGTTTTATTGAGCATATGAACACACATTAGGAACGCCCAGGGCCTGTAGGCCTGGTCTTCCTGAGGACAGCACATCTGAGTCACCCATAAATCCAGGTGGGCTCTGTCTGCTCCCTTTGCCCAGTCAAGAAGCCTCCTTCCTCCAACTGAGTCTCCCATATCCATCTCCAGGAGCTCCTCCCGGGTCCTTTGTCTTGTGTCCTGGTAAATAGGATCATCTGGGTCCCTCTCTTCTCTGCCTCTCCTCTCACCCCTGGGTTGGAACCAGCTGGTCAGGTCACTAGGGTCCTTTCTTCACAGCACATTGTCTTCCCACTGGCCAGAGCTGGCTGTGCCATCCGAGCTGGTCTCCTGGTCCCCAGCTCATCAGTTGCAGGGGTCTCCATTCTCCCAGCCACTGGCCCGGATCCAAAGTTCTCTGCTGGTCTCTGTAACAACAAATTCCCTCTCTGCTCAACTTTTTAAACCAGTAACAGCCAGGGACATGGTGTGCAACCCCCTCTGCATACAACCCCTTGAATCCCCCCCCAGACAGGCGAATGTGCAGGGGGACCCATGTCCCATATGCCATGGGCAGCAGGGGCAAGGGGTTGGCCAAAGGCTGGTGAAGACACTAGAGGAGGAAGGGTCTTGTGGCTGCTGCCAGCCCTGCTAATCCCCTGGGCTGCATGGCTTGGGGGAGAGGGAAGAAGCAGAGCAGGGGGAGGGGCAGGAGGCAGAGCAAGGGCAGGGAAGAGATCAGGAAAGGGCAGAGCAGACACAGGGCTGGGGTGGAGTGTCCCTTCTCCACCTTGACCAGTTACCTCTGCCCCCACAAGTCCCCCACTTCATTACATCATAAGAATATGATGCCATAAAGTTTAGGATTTTAAAACTGTTTAGAATTTGCTTACGAATCTTTAAAAATTCTTTAGGATTAAAAATACTTTTCAGAGACATTATAAATACGGTACCTCCGATATTAAAACAAATACAGCATTCTGTAATGCTAATTAACTAGCTGGCTTGGGTAAAGACAAGTTTTGAAATCCCCAGGATAGATGGCTTTCATTTGTAGCATATATCACTGTGCGTTGGCTAATATGGCACTGCCTGTCCATTCTGAAAGGTTATATGGCCTGACTAGTAACACATCTGATGTGGAAATAATACCCAACTGACTAGCATGGTGCTGTAACTGAAATGTGTTCAGCTCTTGCCTGAGATGTTAACTTCTCTCTCTTTCTGGTTACTCCTAAAGCAACAGTCCTACCATTCAAATTAACTTGTGTGGCATCAATCATAATGATTATTTATCATTAGCATTCTGGTAGCACTAAAAAGCCCCAAATTATGGCACTACCAGGCACTGTACAAACACACACAAAGACAGGATTAAAAATACAAAGAGCTTACAATATAAATCAGTGTTATCAGACCTCAGTGGTTCAGGAGCCAAATCAGTGATCAAGGTTACCCGAAACAGCCACATATATTTTTTCTTGGTTATTCTGACCAAGTAATATTATTTTATCAACTATAATTGGTTAACAAGATAGTAAAGCATTCTGACTGGTAAATTACTAAGCCTGGTTAATAATTAAACCAGAGAGTGTTTTAATATCAGGAGCTGCAAAAAGTTGCTGGCAAAACATTAAAGAGCCACTTGCAGCTCCTGAGCCTCAGTGTGAGTATCACTAATCCAAATAAACAGGGCAGATGAAAGGAGGCATCATACACACAGGGTGATGAGGGTTTATGGGTGGCAAAGTCATATTCATTCTGAAACGCTTTGGTCCAAATCCATTCAGACCTCTGGCAGGAATTTCAATTGGCTATTTCCCTGCTTTCCAGGTGCACCTTACACTTGAACTACATCACTGTCAAGCTAAACATTGTTTAAAATAATTATTCAATAGTTAAAAAAATAGTACACAAGCAATATCTGCAAGAAGTTTAAGTCTCATTTTTGGCCTGCCTAAAGACTTAAAATGAGACCAAACTGGGACCCAAAAGCTCTGGAATTTTTTATCCAAATTCATAGCCAAGTGTAATGACTTGAGCCTGGTTAAGGGATACAAATCAGAATCCTGAAATCTTTTATGTGTAATAAGGGGAACATTTGGCTGTAGGTTTCATGCCCTCGGCTTAGCTGTCATTTCAATCTGATGACCACTGCCTGGAGTCTAAACATCTTTTAAGAGAGAGCAAAACCATCTGACACCACCAAAGAAACCAGAGCTATGAGCTCCCCGATTGTCTGTGCAACGGCAGTGACCTAACAGGATTGCAGGGTTGAGCCTCTTTTCCCAGCACACTGCTAGAACCATCACCCCAGGATAGTGATGAAGTACAAGGAAAAAACCCAGAAAAGAGCCAAAGGGTTAGTGAGGCTGGTTGCCATATAAAGTGTGAATTCTGGCCTCAGAATATGCACATGCAGTTCTCTCTGGCTCAACATCAGCAGGGAATGACACACTGGAGCTAGTCCTGGGAAGAGGAGAATGCCCTTGTATATGGGCTGATGTCAATGGGAACTGAGTGCTCTCAGCATCTCCTTCCAAGACTATATAAACAATGGAAAGTATAGCTCCAAACAAAACAGGTGGCTGCATCTTTTCAATAAAACCCTGGCCTAGTTCCTCCTTGGGGTAGATGAGATTCCTTTGCAGGGATTCCAGCAGCAAATCTCAGGCGACCATGTGACTGAACCTTTGTTACAGTTTTCTCAAAGGTATGGCACTTGTTGTCCCATCCTATAAAGAAATAAAATCATCGGAAAAGATCTTTTATTCAGTGCATATGAAATTCATTTTCTCTAAGTGAAAAATTACAACTTAAGCCCATTTCAGGGGCATTTTCTTCAAATACCTAAAAAAGAAAATGTCAGCTTTCGGCAGCGGAATAACAAAGTTTTAAAAAATCATTTTTAAGGACCAAATGTGGACTTTTTCTTATTAAAATTTAATAAAAGTCATTTTCCTTTGAGGAAAAATGATAAAATATTTTTAACCAGCATTTTAACATTGGCTGTTGTAGGACACCTCCCAATCACATGCGCGCATGCGCACACACACACAATTTCTCTCTCTTGACTGATTTCACCCTCTGTTTATCATTATTGACTATTTCCCTGAGTGCCACTGTGTTTTAATTAGCTGTGCAGTAACCTGAATACCTTGGCGCAGTGGGTGCATTATAAGTCGTATTAATTATTCCTAACAGTTTTGCGCAGGTTTGGCTTAACCACCCACTGTTTTCCAGACCTGCAGGTTTATCACTTTCTCCATTATGTGACTGACCTGACAAAGGAGCAGATCATGCTGGTGTTTGATTTGCTAGACTGGAATGCCACAGGGGAGCTTGGCTTTGATGAGTTCTACATGCTGGTGTGCATCCTGATGGCTCATGAGGCAGGTAGCCTGGGATCCCTGTTGATGTGCCAGCCAAAGGCTTCAGAGCCTTTATAAAATGAATCAGCTGGCTGGGAGTCTAACATTCACTTATAATGATATAGAAGGGCACTTTCCACAAACTGTCTAAATGGTCTTATGCTCAGAGGCAGCTGAAAACCCCCCACAATCCCTCAGCTCACACGATGAGCTGGAGGCATCTGCTGCTTTCTTCGCAATAGCAAGGTACAGAGACCAGAACTGGATAGGGACAAAAAGGGGGGGCAGCTAAAATGGGCATGTGACCTCCACACGTGAGTCTGCCCCACCCCATCCCCAGCCTAGGGCCCCCCTCATTCTCCCCATCCCAGATAACCTGAAAGAGAGGGGGGAAATCTGTCCTCCCATGGTGCTGGATACAGACTTCTGAGCTGCTGGGCTGTCTGGAACCACAGTGGCAAAAGGAGCAGAATGTGGAGTTGTCAGGTGTCCCATGCTGGCAATTCCTCCAGTGCGATTGTACCACCCCCACCCTTCCATGCAGCTGCATCTCCCAGGGTCTGCACAGCCCCGCAGGAGAACAAGGCTGGGGGCAGTACTGGAACAGCTGTGGCAGAAGAGCTGCTGCATCACCCTCAGCCCCGCCCTGAGCCCTGTCCTCCAGGACACACAGCAGGGTGACAGGGCTGGGAGTGGTACAGTCGTGCCAGAGGGGCTGCTGGCCTGGGCCACCTGTCAGCCCCACAATTTCTCCTTTTACCTCTGCGTTTCTTGGCAGAATGTGCTCCCCCAGGCGGCTGAGGAGGGGCATGTGACTTTGTCTCTTCCTGCGATGCCACATTCTGTTGTGCAATAGAGCACGTGAGTCTTCTGCAGTCGTTAGACGACAGCTCTCTCACTGACGGTTACTGGAGGTCAGACCTGTTCAGAAAGAAAACAGTAGCGTGGTGGGAGAATTAAAGGCTGTGTGGAAGAAATGAATGTTAACACAAACCAGAGAGCCCCATTTTTCAGGGTTCAGACTGTCGCCCAAGTTTTTCCTTTGTTGGGAGGAGGGCAGGCTGCTTGCAGTGTCATCCCGGGGAGGCCTAAGAGGCAGGACTTAATCTGTCATGAAAGAAGTGGGGGGGGGAGGGGGGAACTCAACCAAGTCGGTGCCAGGACTATGAACTGGCAAACTGTGAGAGCTGGACAACCCTGGGCTCAAATTAAGTGCTGCTTGGAGGGCAAAGATCATCCATGGGTTACAACTGGGCTAAGTAAACACATTCATTTCAAGAATCACATGAGGCTTTACTGGCTGCATGGAGCAAAGTGAGAAACTCAACATGCTCAGTCCATTCCCATGGCCACCTGGCTCAGAATTATTTCACAACAGTAGTAGGGGCTGAAGCCTTGGGCAAGCAAATCTGTTCGCATGGAGCTCGGCAGGTGTGGGTGCAAGAAAGCACGGAGGTCTTCTCTGTGTGTTGCAAGCTGGAAGTAAGAAGGTTACCCCAGGTTTTTCCAGCTAGACTTGAGATCTGTATTTTCTAAAGCAGGACATCTCTGCTCATTATTTTTGGTAAATATTTCTCTCCTGAAACAGAACCACCTGGAAAAGCAGTTCATTTATCAACACTCTGGGGCCGTGTTTGAATTGCTGGATATGGATGGAGGACACACAGTTGGCCCCAGGGAGTTCCAAGCCACTCGGTTCCTCTTCAACATCAAGAAGCAAGAGCTTGAGAAGATATTTAAGGACTTTGATGTTTCTGGAGATGAGGTGAGGTTAGAGGAATAACAATCTCTACAGAAAGCCTTAATAATGCCACTTTTTGTTTATGAACACGCAGAGGCTGTAACTGAAATCAGAGTCCCATTGTAATTGCCCAAGGACTGTTCTTACCTGAAGCGCAGAATGAAAATGGACAAGAAAAACAATATATGGGAGGGGAAGAGGCAAAAGGATTAAGAACTGTCCCAGTGCTGCACTGAGCTCAGGTCGAATGAGTTCTGCTGACAGGCCACATAGCTTGAATACAGCTGCGGGCTCCAGATCCACTCCGAAAAGCTTTATGTTGCCAGCTTGCAGCCCTGCTAAGAGCAGCAAAAGGAGTTATGCGGAACCTGCCCTTCAGAAAACTGCAACTGGGGGACCTCCCCCATTGATTTATTCCATTCTTTATGCTGAGATCTCAGGCTATGCTGGGCTTTCAACCTGCTGAGGTTTGACTGTAGGCAGGGGGTGTCCTTGTTATTTTCACCTTGGAACACAGGGGACCGTCTGTCAGTGAATGTGCAAAGCCTGATTTCCTCCAGTGCCAACTCTCCCTTCTTCACTGCATTGAATACGGGATTCCTGACATCACTTTCAAGGCTCATCACTTTCCCCCTTCCTGCCTATCTGCTTTTGTATTGATTACGTCACTCGCTAACAATGCCTCCATTGCCTGTGTTTGGCCCCATAAAAACCTCTCAGTTTTCTCCCCTTTCCATCAGCCTACTTCAGGCTCCTTCACAAGACCCATGCCTAAGGTGAAGTCTGATAAGTTGCCAGCCCCTAATGACTAGATGGATGGGAATTGCTTTTGTATTAATAGAGCTTTAAGTGCAGTTTCATATTGTTCTCTGTATATTTGTGTAGCACTCATTACCAAGTGCTTTGCAGCAATGCATTCCTAAAAAAAAAAAAAAAAAAAAAAACCCTACCCCAACCCTGCACCCAAACACACTCTCACCGAGGCACTCTCCGACTGAGAAAGAGAAAGACACTCCCCACATTCCCCTAGCACACCAAAGCCTAGCGGGCCCAGGCTAGTAGATTTTGTGTGCTCCAGCCCTGCAAGAGGACAGCTGGGTGGCTGGAGCACCAGCACACTCTCCCCAGTGCTGAGGGGGATCCCTGAGCCTCTGGGGCTGGATCCAAGCAAGGTGGGGGCAACATCTGGCCTCTGGGCCTTAGGTTTCCCACCCTGTCACATGTGATTCATTCCTTTCTCCCCTCAGGTGGCAAACTGCATCTGCAACGTACAGTTCTGATTGCTGGCGTTGTTTCCCCCACGGTTGTCTTCCCTGTCCCCTCCCTCCAATTATTGAACAGTTGCATTTTAACCTAGGTATTCCCTGTCCCAAGGGAGTTTACAAATCTCCTAATATGAGTTTGGACAGTGCCTTGACCTAAAGACTCCAATAGTGCTTGGAGCATCTAGATACCAACTAATGCAAACAACAGATCTGAATCATTTCCCATGGAAGCTTTTTCGCTAGCAGTTGCAAACTCTGCCTGTATTTCCACTTTGCAGATGACTGGGCTGGTTGGTTAACAGGCATTTTGTAAGAGCTTGCTTATGTGTAGTGCCTGATTCTAAAAATACTGAGATTTCCAATCCAGAAGCATCAGGATATTCACCTGTTAGGGAGATTCCCTTGCAGGTTGCAGTGTGTTGCTTTCAGAGGCTGTATCTACACTATGTGATTATTTCACATTGTAAGTTATTTCAAAATAACTCCTAGAATAAGAGTTTCAAAACAGGTGTTATTCCTCATGAAAAGCAGGCTTTATTTTGAAGTAACAAGCCCGCTATTTCAAAATTATTTAGAAATAATGGGCTTGCTGTGTGGATACTCACCTTGTTATTTTGAAACAACTCTCCTGTGGAGACATGGCCACAGAGACCTAACCCATGAAGTTCAGCTCTAAATGTCTCCAAAGTTTGAGTGGAAGAAACAGGGTGTGTATCTCATTCTCCCTCAGATCCCAAAGCTCGTGTCAGGCTTCTCTCTGACATCTAGGTGGCACCAGCCCTCACTGTCTTGTTAAGGTTGCTATTTCATATATTTTTCTCCCCTACAATAGCAACTGAACTACAAGGAATTCAAGATGTTTACAATCTTCTGCATTGAAAGACAGCAGAAAAAGGAGAGGGAGAAAAAGAAGAAGAGATTGAATGCAGAGATTCCAGAACCATCAGGACCAGACCTCATCAAGAGCAGTATGCAACAACTATATTTGTAACACTTTGAGTCAGTTACAAACCAGTTCAACCATCTTTCTCCCAGGCCCCAGCCACAAAGGTTAGCTTAAAACATGAGCTCTAAGAAACATACAATACAAATAATGGCCCAGCCTATTGTAGTGAGATAATTTTGTCCCCAGACCCAGTTTTGGATACTGTATGAAAGTGACTAATTGGCTCTGATGTCATCCCCTGGGGAACAGCTGATGAAACTTGGACTCCAGACCTAAGCATCACATTTCACCCCAAGCCAGTTGCCATTATTTGTGTCACCCCTCCCTACTGTAGCACATTGCTCAAGTATTTTAGACTAGCAACTGTGCTCCACCCTCTAGCTACATTACAGCTGGGTTGTGACAGAGCACTCCTTCCACTACAACTATTTTATCACCTTTGAAGAGGCAGATGAAATTAAATTTAACCCCAAACCAACTGGCTTTGATATTAGACTTACTCATTTTGTCATCTGATGGTATTAAATGTTTCTATTAAAAATAGTGTTTGCGTGTGTGTGTGGTGGGGGGCAGGCACGGGGAGAGAATACGTTTTGGCCCAACTCTCTGCATCTATTACTGTTGTTGTGGGGAATGGTGCCAGTCAAAAGCAATGCTTTTATTTTATTAAAATGAATCCATCTGTGGAGAGAATAGAAGGGATGGGCAGCATTTCTTGTCAAATATTGACTGGTTACACCCTCAATAGCATCATTTACGAAACCCAGTTTCCATCTCACCTTACATGCAAATCTGGGGCATCAGCAAAGATGGCCACCTCACCACTTAATTTCTTTCATGCTCACTGTGGCTGCAGCCCTTGTGCACTGAAGTTTACAGGCTGCCAGGCCAGAGGTGAAAGTAAGTGGGTGCATCCTCATGCATAGATTCTGGCTGAGCTGTGGCAAAAGCCAGCAGGGAGCTATCTAAAGAGCCGGCAGGGATCCCAGGTTGCAGTAGGCCAGTACCCGTAAGAAACTGTAAGTTACTTTCAGTACTGTGTCAGGCTGTAACAAAGTTGAATCAAATACAAAAAGGCCCAGCTTCTGAACTGAAGAATTGCCACTATGGTCCGCTGTTGTTACTTTAATTGTGGCAGGAAATAGGTAGGACCCTATCCCTTGATTTTCTTACTCCCAAGGCTTTATTTCCAGGAATCAAGACAAAGAAGCTGTTGAAGCCCCAGTGTTACTCAGAGAGATTGGGCCATGTTTTCTAATCTGACAATGGTGGGTGGCTGTTGTGTACTGGCCCCTTTCAGTACGTTACCTTTGTGTTTAGCATTTTTGACCCAAAGATCTGGAAGAACTATCAAAAACTAAACTTTCAGCCAGAGTCCCCTCTTGAATACACTGCTCTAAACTGTAGTCATGCTGAATGGACTGCAGTACTTACTCCAGATGTAGTATCTTGAACTAGCCAGAAAATAATTTCACTTTGCAGGAAAAAATGGTTTTCACACTGGTTTGCCTGATTTGCAGCTGGGGCTTGCGTTTGGGTCTCCCACATTCCAGTAAGTGCCCTAATCATCAGGCTAGAATTCTATCCTGCCAAATCTCCTGATGGATGTTTCATCTGAATAGATTCACTGAAATGAAAACCTTGTGCTGAAACAGCGTACTTCCCTGTAATAAAAACAGTCAAAAATTTCTTGATCAGCTCTATTGACAAGGAATAATCAAGCCTTCGACATAGGAATTCACTTACCATGGTAATGTGATCCTGAAGCAGAGTCCCTGCTCAGGCCCCTTGGGCTGGTCCACAAATCAGTCACAAGCCTTCTGATGCAAATACCTGTGCCTTTATTGTAGGGTCCTACCACCTTCTATTTACAACATTTACAGTCCAGTATCAGAGGGGTAGCCGTGTTAGTCTGAATCTGCAAAAGCGGCATGCATCTGACGAAGTGGGTCTTTGCCCACGAAAGTTTATGCTCCTACACTTCAGTTAGTCTATAAGGTGCCACAGGACTCCTCGCCGCATTTACAGTCCAGACAGCCAACTCCTCTCTCTCTCCACCTAGGGGCACACTGAGCCACACCCTGGGTCCTTACTCCTCCTTCCCCTGGCTTCCTTCCTCTGTCTTATATAGCCCCCCTGCTGTGCGCCCCACAGCTGCTTCTGATAACCTTGCCAGCCTGGGCTTGCTTAGCTTTTTCCCCTTAACCTGGCTACTGTGGCAGAGCTCTGGCTTAGCCAGCAGTCTGTCACAGACCCATTTGGAGCAAACTGTCAGCCTTTGATCCAGCCCGCAGTCCCACTACATAAGTGCTTAGGAGCAAAAGGGAAAAATGCAATATCCAAATCTTGGAAGTGCTGGCAGGCAGAACATGATTACCCTGATGGAATCTGACCAGTACAGTATGGTGAACGTCTACTGCAGGTAACCACTGTTGTGCCATTGCTAATAAATGATGTAATCTGCTAGAGTGGGATATAGCTGAGTAGTTAAATAAAAAAGAAAACATTCACAAATGCAAATAGGACACTTACTCCATACTCATTAGGAGTGTTGGATGGAATATGTTGGACACGTGTAGCAGCCATAAATTATACCTGGACCATAAAATCAGAGCTGTTGCAAAAAGATGGTGGTTTACATTAGTCTAGTCTCTTACATACACAAGCTAAATGCTACTAGGAGTGAACAAACATTACAGCCCACTGCTTTGTGTCTGAAGGCCAGCGATGAGCAACCAAGGCTAGTGAGTGAGTTGCATGAGTGGCCTTCCTTTGTCTCAGTGGGTCACAAGATTGAAATCAGTCATGTGCACTAATCAAGAATAAGATTAAATACATTGATACAGGGCATGCTGAATATTTCAAAACATGTAGAAATGCTTTAATCGTTCATATATTAATAGAACTATCATCAACTTCAAATTAAACCTCCCCAAAACATTTACACTTTACAATATCAAATCCCTGCCTAGCCTCGTCCCCTCCTCTCCAAAGGCATCCCATCATTGGCCCCCCCCCCCACTCCCTTCTCAGCACTTCCAGAGTACCATGACTCAACCGATATACACCCCTTTCCGCTCAGAGCTCGCACGCCGCAAACAATGGCTGATTCATGGCGCTCCAGAAATGCTGGGAAGGTGGGGGAGTAGGAGGTAAGCGTGGGGTCTTCAGTACATGAGACGTACAGGGGAAGGGAGCAAAGAGAGGGCATGCAGGCCGCACATGGGAACCCTGGTGCGCCACAGGCTGCCCACCACTGCTGTAGGTGGTACCATCTGAGGCATTTCAACTTGTGTGCACCTCTGACTTGAAATTCACTTTCCTGTTGGATGGGATAGCAGTTGTAAATGTAGACCTAAAACTCTTTTTCCACACTGGACTTCTAGATGCTAGTGACAAGTTGTGTGTGGCTTTGTCATAATTTTAAAAGAGCCCATATATAAATGGGCCAAATGAAAGGTTTCTTTACATGGTGCATTAGTTCACGCTAGAGGGGTGCAAATTCTAATGTACACTAACTGGCTTGTGGGGGCCCTGCTAGTGCACACAGTGTAATACTGTTTGAAATAGGACTAAATTAATATGCATTAAGAAATTTTTAGTGAGTGCCAGTGGGTCCACACAGGCCAGTTAGTGCACGACATGCTGTTGCATATTTAAATTTACTCTCTTCTTGTGTGCACTAAAGTATCATGTAGACTTGCCCTAAGAGATCCATCTAACATTTCACTTAATATTAAAAGGCTTCACAAATAAATTACTTAACATTTCTCCCCCACCCGGTCCTTAAAGCCCACAAAACCAGAATGTGTGAGTAATATTATGTGGGTGTTAGAAAAACATGACATTTGGTTCCCTACCCCACTCCTGAGAGACCCGGATTCTTCCATTGATTGCATACCCTATTTTACAATAATCCTGACAGACAACAGTGTGACAGATGCCAATGAATGATACACATTGTTTTTATAATCTGAACATCTTAACCTCTCATGGGGAAAAGTACAATAAAAAAGATTGAAGAAATACAGCTGAGTGTTAAATTACGTTCAAATGACTTAAAAAGAGAAAAACAACTCTGTTTGTTTCTTAAGGCATGATGTTTCCAGTATTAATTTTATTTTTAAATCCAGAAAAAAGAAATTGTTTTTTTTTGCTTTTTTAATACAAGAAGTTTTGTACAGAAGTTTGACTCATATAAATTTATGACATTTTGCTTTCAATGTTATAGATGTCTAACTATGTAAAAAATTCACATAATTTAAGTTTAAAGACAACCTACTTGTGCTTTGCAATTGATTAAAAAATGTGTGCACACTACTGCAATGTCAATCAAATAACAGAGGTACAACATAAAAATATACAATGCATCTTAATGGAACCCAATGTTCACAGCATCTCCAGATAGGCCAAGAATTAATTATTTGGATTGAACAAGCCAGGGAGGAAATAGCATAGTTTCACACAACTGGTATGTTCAGTTCTAAAAGATTTAATTTTATAAAAGTTACAGGGTGAACAGGGGAGAAAGTCACATGACTGTAATCTCCTCATCCTTCTCTCAATAGCTGTTGGAATCATATTTGTCTGCATCAGAACCAAATTATCTAGCACCTCATCCTACATAATATGACTATTTCTTTGATACATGGCACACAAACGGCATAAAAAAGATTTACCATAAAAGTGAAGATATTTCAAGAAGTACAAATTTGATGGTACCAGCCATCTTTGGAAGTCACTACCATGAGGCAAAGAGAACATAAATCCAAGTCCCTTGCACATAAGACATGAAAATGAAGTGTCTTACATTCTTCCGACTAACTAGTGCAGACTATTGCATTCATTGCTCAAAGCCATCTCCATTTTCTAGACATTCCCCGGACTTGGAGAAGAGAGGCACAAATAGGATCTTTGATATGAAAAAAACAACAACAAAAGTTGATTACTTTAATCAACTGAGATTTTATTTGTTTTAAATTTGCTTAAATTGTCCCCAGTCTTTGGCTAGATTCAAATTGCCAGGGGAAAAAAAACAGAATTAAAGTTAACAAAACTTGATTTTATAGAGTTCCAGGTGAACACAATTTAAGGCAAGAGTCAGGATTTTAAGTTACCAGTTTGCCACATGGTTCTGATTCATTGGTCTTCGTGTTTAAATGTACAAATACAGCATTCCATTGGATAGATACCTAACAAAAGGTCCTGCTCAAAAGTACAGGAACACATTTTGTCATGGATAGTCCAGTGGCTATATTTAGTAAGAGTTTCAAAGTCCACAGTAAGAAGCTCAGCTGATTAAAAAACCCTGTCTTCAAACTATTTGACTTTTGTAAGCTAAGTGACATAAGCACTACTATGTTTCTCCTTTGGAAGGAGAACTATAGCCCTAGAGTTATCATGGATGGTACACCATGTCCTATGAGCAGGAAGTGGCATCCATACCACTAGGGAATATTTGTTGAAAATGATGAAATGTCAAAGGAGAAGAGCCATATGCAGAAAGAA